GGCTCACTGCAACCTCCACCTCCCGGGTTCAAGTGATTCTCTTGCCTCAGGCTCCTGAGTAGCTGGGATTACAGGCACCTGCCACCATGCCCAGCTTCATTTTTTTTATCTTTAGTGGAGACAAGGTTTCACTATGTTGGCCAAGCTGGTCTTTAACTCTTGACCTCGGACAATCCATCTACCTCATGCTTGCAAAGTGCTCAGACGATGGCATACAAGCGTTATAGTTCTGTGAGCTGTCTACTTCTACCTCCATTTCATAAAGAGCAGAAATGGAGTTTCTGAGTAATTAAATGACATGCCAAGTACCCCACAGTCAGCCTGAAATCAAGTGCAAAAATAATCTGGCTCTGAAGTTTATATTTTTCATCACCAGGAGGTCCTCTCTCAGGCTTCCTCAGTGTTATTTCCTAGAAATTGCCATAGTTTTCCTGCCTGAAAGCCACACTGTCTACCTCAAAATTCACTCATTGATTCATTCATTCAAGACATTGGTCAACACATATCTGTTCAGCACTTACCATGTCCCAGAGCCTCTGCTAGAAACTCAGTGATACAATCGTGCGTGGCAAGATCTTCCGTGTCCAGGAACTCACGTCCTGTAGGGTGAAACATAAAAGTGACTAAGATACCCTCAACACTAGGTAATAAACACCCGTCCCTACGGGGTGCTGAGGAGGCACAGAGGAAGGGCACTTGTTTGTGTGGACAGTGGTGAATGCCGTGTAAGGAAAGACTTCCCAGGACAAATGATGCTTAGCTTGTACTGAAGGATGAGAAGAAACTATTTATTTTCAAAACTATCCTATTGCCAAAAGGATTTAAAGATGCTTGGCACCCAGCTCATAGCAAACAACCAATACACATGTGGCAAATGAATGGATTAAAAACAAAAACAAAAACAACTTTGCACTTGCTTCTCTTTTTTCTGTGGCTGCTGGGAAGGTCAGAGCCAACGCAGTGGCAGAGGAATAGACCTTGAGACCTTAGACTTCCCTCCTTTCTTCTTTTTCTTCCCCCATTCACCCCCAACCAGGGATGTTGACTTTCATGTCTTTCATTCTTTTTGACTTCCTGATTTTTGTCGGTTGTATTAATATTTATCTTTGACTATTTGGGGCTGGGAGGTCTCAAGAAATGGCCCCAGATCCTATTAGAGAGGGGACAAAAGAAATATATTCAATGCAGGACTCTTCTCCAGGGAGATCTGTTTGGCTCTGGGGGGGGCGGGCGGGGAGGCAGCATCTCTTCCTTCACTTTGGTTATCCCACACAGCACATGGCCTTCATGCCCTGAGAGTAGCAGTGTCCCCTTTAGTTCTCTCATTGCCCAAAGCCCTTCATCCACAGAGTCCCTGCTCCCCCATCCCATCCAAAAAGCCTGCATGATGCATGAAGTTGCTGGCAAAAGCTTTAAACAAAACAAAACCCAAAAAGCTTGCATGAGGCTCCTCCTTGTGGCGACAAATATGTTCTTGTAGAGAACGGGGCCAGCACTCTGGTCAGTGAAGCCAGCCTTGAGATAAGGTAACTTATAACTGATCAGCAAGTGCTGGCCCCAAAATGCCATGCTAAGGAACACAGGGATTTTTAGATCTCTTAAGGTCCCATGACTGTGGAGACAGAGCCAAGGCACAAACGACTGGCAGCCACCCCAGGCCCAGGTTCTCCCTAACACCCCAGTCTTGCAATGAGTAATTCACGATGTGTGTGGTCATCTGCACTGCGGCTTCCCTCTTGTTAGAAGCCAGTTCTGGCGGGGCACGGTGGCTCACACCTATAATCCCAGCACTTTGGGAAGCCAAGGCAGGAGGATCACTTGAGCCCAGGAGTTTGAGACCAGCCTGGGCAACATATTAAGACCTCATCACTACCAAAAAAAAAAAAAAAAAAAAAAAAAAAAAAAAAACCAAAAAAAAAAAAAAAAAAAAAAAAAAAAAAAAAAATCGGCTGGGTGTGGTGGTGCACACCTGCAGTCCCAGCTACTTGGACAGCTGAGGTGAAAGGTTTCCTTTAGCCCAGGAGGTCAAGGATGTAGTGAGTCGTGGTGGTGCCAGTGTACTCCAGCCTGGGCGACAGAGCAAGATCCTGCCTCAAAAGCAAAACAACAAAGCACACACCCTTGCACGTGAGTCTCAACCACTGTTGTTGTGGTCATCATCATCATCATCAACAGTAGAAGTAATAATCATAGGGGCAGTGACAGGGTGGATTTTCCCCAGCTCTAGTAGGTGCTGGGGAAGTGTTTGTTGATTGAATGAAGGACGTTAGTAACTCTCCTCTGTCTGGTGTCCTCTCTGTCTCTTCTAAGCCATGCATGGGACGTTTGTGATTCTGCTGCCGCTCAGCCTTATCCTGATGGTTTTTGGGGGGATGACAGGGTTTTTGAGCTTCCTCCTCCGAGCTTACCTCCCACTCCTGCTCACCGGAACTGTGTTCCTCTTTGGAGGTAGGTGCCCACCCTGCCTGGGACTCTGGCTTGTGGTCGGGGGTGGACGGTGGGTACTGTGTCTGAACCCTCAACAAAGGAGGGAGCTCCCAAGGCCCCTTGGGGTTCACTTGGAAGAGATGAGTGGTTTTCAGCCCAGAATCACCTAGTTTCTGGTTCAAAGACAGGAACCATACAGAGGGAGCAGCTTCCAAGAATCCTTTTCATTACTTCACCAAAGAGGCTGCAGGTACTGCCTTTGCCCGAACTTGTGATAGCTTCCAGCTTTAGGGCCCTGAGCCGGCAAGAAACCCTTGTTCTAGCCACCCTCATTCTCTTCTGCTGGTCAGCCCCTCTGATAGATACTTACGGAGTCCAGCTTGGCCGTAGAGACCCCCACCCAGGTGGCGATGAAGGCATTGAGAAGCAGACACCCAGATACAACAGCAAAGTGGGTCTAACTGGGGGACCAGCAGCCTTCTGAGCTGAGAATCTCAGGGGCCGATAGCATTCCAGGCTGAAAGCCTGGAGCAGCTGCTGACCCATGCATTTATTCTCTCTGAACAGGTGATCATTATTAACAGACAGATGTTCCGTATTTTCTCACAACATAAAATATGCCGAGTAGGCAGCTGGTGCCCATTTACCACTGATCACAGACAAACTAAAAAGTATTCCCCACGAGGCAGCCACGGGGACAGGGTCAGATGTCCCGAGCTTAAAGAATTGTTTTAACCAGCGTATGATATTTATATATTGTCCTGCCACTTTAGAATGCCCCAAGTAGTTTTCTATTTGGGGAGGTGGGGGGCAGCTAAGTTTTCCTTGTCATCGTTCTTCCCAGCAAACAATATATTCCATCACACACTCAGCATTTCTCAACAGATGCTGCTTTGATTGACTAAAAAATGGGCATGTCCAGGCACAGAAAGACACCTCATGATCTCTTTCTATGTAGAATCTAGAAGAGTCAAATTCACAATAACAGAGAATGGAGCAGCGGTCACCAAACTCATAGAAACAGAGAGTGAAACAGGCAGGGGGCAGGATTTCAGGGCAAAAGGAGGAAGTCCAGTGATCTGTGGGGCATGATGGTGATAGCAGTTAACAGCAGCATATTGAGTTCTCGAAAATCGTTGAGAGTAGATTTTAGTTTTCACCACACACAACAGAAATGCTAAGTGTGTGAGGCCATGCCTGTGTTGAATAGCTTGACTGAGTTAGTCCACAGTATGCACACACATCAAACCCTCATGCTGCGCACCATAAATACATGCAATGTTTTACTTGTCAATTAAACAGCAGCACACACAAAAACAAGATAAATCAAAACAACAGATTGATAGACAGTGGCAGGCTAACACCATGGCTTGGTGCAGTGGACCGGGGTTTTGAAAACTGGGACTCATCACATGGCTGGCTGCTTTACGGCTCCCGTGCCCTAGTGTATTTGGAATGTTCCTCATTTAAGAAGAACACAGCAGTGATGTCATGCACACTTTCCCACAGAGGGGAAAAAACAAAAGGATGCCTGGGGGTGAACATACTGCAAAGCTTCATCCCCTGCAGCCACTCACAATTATTATAATACTGGCATTAATAGTTCACCCAAATGACAAATTCTCCAAACCAGCACTGCCTGGTTGAAGTTTCTGGGATGGTGGAGAATTTCCCTAACCTGTGATGTGCGTCGGGAGCTGCAAACCAGGCTGGGGCAGCGAGTGCTCATGGGGGCGCTGGGCTGTTAACTTTACTTCAATTAATTAACTTAAATTTAAATAGCCACGTGTAACTGGCCAGTGGCTACTGTACTGGACAATGCGGCTCAAATCCAATATCTGTGGAGAACCACCATGGACCAGGCACTGTTCTAGGTGCTGGGGAATTGAAAATGAGCCAACCCATGGGTGTGTCTGCCCTCTGGAAACTCACAGGCCCCTGGGGAGACAGAGGTTAGTTAAATAATAACATAAATATGCCTGTAATCCCAGCACTTTGGGAGGCCGAGGCTGGTAGATCACTTGAGGTCAGGAGTTTGAGACCAGCCTGGCCAATCCGGTGAAACCTCGTCTCTACTAAAAACACAGAAATTAGCCAGGCATGGTGGTGGGCGCCTGTGGTCCCAGGTACTCGGGAGGCTGAGGCAGGAGAATAGCTTGAACCCGGGAGGTGGAGGTTGCAGCAAGCGGAGATCATACCACTGCACTCTAGCTTGGGAGACAGAGCGAGACTGTCCAAAAAAAAATCACAAACAAATGCGAAGTTGCACCTGTGGCCGCGGCAGTGATGGACAGCTGTATGGAGCTGTGGAATCACTGCTCGGGCAAGTCCAGGAATCGAAGCATGAGCTGAGATCTGTGGGGAGAGTAGGAGTTGCTGATGGCAGGCGGAGAAGCAGGGGTGAGCGCCTCCAGTGAGGAGACCAGCACATGCAAAGGTCCTGTGGCAGGAAGGAGTGAAGATGCTGAGCAGTGTGGCTGGGCAGGGTGAGGAGGAGGAGGAGGAGGAGGGAGTGCTGGGTGGGAGAGGGCGGGGGTTGATCTGCTCTCCCTTTGCCGTCCCTGCAGCCATGGTGACCCTTGCTGGGATCAGCATCTACATAGCGTATTCAGCCGTCGCCTTCCGGGAGGCGCTTTGTCTACTGGAGGAGAAGGCCCTCCTGGATGAGGTGGACATCCACTTCGGCTGGTCCCTGGCCCTGGGCTGGATCAGCTTCATCACCGAGCTGCTCACCGGGGTGACCTTCCTGGCAGCAGCCCGCGAGCTCAGCCTGAGACGAAGGCAGGACCAGGACATATGAGCCTGGGCGCTGGGTGGAGGAGGGGAGGGAGGGGCTTGGCCCCAGAGCTTCATCGACTCATCTCCATGGGCTGTGTGGCCTCTTCTTCCTCAAAGGCCACTCGGGGAGGCCAGGTGACCCCCAAATCCCCGTGGACTAAGCTCGGGGTCTGGCTGTTATTTTAGTGCCTGTGTGCTCATGTCCATGTGTGTCTGTGTGGCCTGGCTGACCCAAACTGCTTCACAGGAAATAAAAATGATCCCTTAATGACACACAGAGCTTTACAGAGTGCAAGGTCCTGGCAACCCCTCTCACTTCGTTTCCTCCTCACCCATGCCCCTTGGATCAACTCCTTGGTGGGTCTGGGAAAGGGAGAGGGTGCCCCACCTCCTGGGCCTGTAACGCGTTGAGCTCTCTCTGGGGAGCTTTGGCCTGGAGTTCCTTTTGTTCTAAAATATCTCTCATGACATTGGCTTTCTACAGGGTCTGGTGGTTGGGTTAGGTCTACAATATGAAGCTGCAAGACTCCTAAGAGGTCGGCCAATTGATAGAGCACTCTTCAGGATGAATCATACCTTTTCCATCCTCCGCAGAAAAATCCATCCCTGCTTTCATCCTGGGTGTTCTGCCCCTGGGAACGGGCTCCACATCCGGGTCCCTTGGGGCAGTGCTGTTCACATTTAGCGTGCCCAAGACCCTATGGGCTTGTTGGTACTCACAGGCTGATGCCACCCCCAGGGTGTCTGAGCCAGGAGGCCTGGGTGAAACCCAAGAACTCACATTTCTAGCTAGCTTCCGGGAGATGCTGAGGCTTCTGAACCAAGCCACCCTTTCCATAAATGCTGAGCCAGGGCATTTGTTAAGTGACAGGGAAGGGTTGTCACCTTGCTGCACTTAGAATCACCTGGGTATCCTCCAAAAATTCTACTGCTCTGGCTGCATCTTTGATCTGATATTCTCTAGGGATGGAGTCCAGGTGTCAGTGTCTTTTAAGAGCTCTCCAGGCAATTCTAGCCCCAAACCGTGGCTGAGATTCTGTTCCTGTAAGATTCCGAGTCATGAGACGGAGGGGGAGGGCCTGAGGAGCCTTCAGCTTAGGAAAGTCTCTGGGAGGTGCTGATGGTTTGGGGAATATTGGTGTGGATTAAAAGATGACAACACCATTATCAACAATATAACATCATTTTCATCACAACATCATCATCGCCATGACTCAGCATTGTCTTCATCATAGCTGACACCCACTGAGTACTTTCTATGCACCTGAGCTATTCTCCATGCCAGTCAATCAGTCAGTCACTCAACAAACACCCAATGGAAGGCCAGTACACACCAGCAACTAGGGGGCAGTGATTCCTCCAGACCTAGCCCTTACTCTCTGGGGTGTCACATGGTTGAGGAGAGAGACATATGAAACATGTAGCCCGTGATGAGGACAAAGCAAAGCAAAGCGGGGGTAGATAAGCAAAGCGGGGTACAGATGAGGAAACTGAGGCACCAGCAGGTTCACATAACTGGACTAAGGGCATAAGGAGAAAAAGGGATGCAAATGAGAGTAAAATTCAGAACTACCTGGTCCCAAGATGGTCCTCTGCCAACTCCCACCAGCGCCTGTGCTTCTTTACTGGCTCTCTGTTCCCGGTTCAGGATGTTGCTGTGACGTCCGGTCTAATCTGGAACGGCGTAAATGGAGTGGATTACTCACAAGGCCCCACAGGAGTAAAGGTTTGCTAGGCTGAGGAAAAGAAAGTTTTTGCTAAGTGAGGACACCGTACTACCGAAAGGGCGGTCTCTGCTTCCACCTGCTGGTCATATTGTGGAACTGCACCAGAGGCAGGATTTGATTTCCAAATTAGTTTCAGCCCACCTAGCGCCCCGGTGCTGGATTAAACACTGCAGGGTAGGGGTCCTCAGCTGGGGCAATTCTCTCCCCCACCTGACGTTTGGAATGTTTGGAGACAGTTTCGGTTGTTCTGAGTGAGTGTAGGGAGTCGTATTACTGGCATCTCCAGCGGGAAGAGGCCAGGGATGCTGCTCAACATCCCATGATGCTGAGGACATCGGGTCCCACATGTCCACGGTGGGAAATGCTGAGACACTGCTAAGCCAGCAACAGTGAACAATAACAAGCCAAAACTCCAGGAACAGACAACATAGAAGACTCTCATTCATTTGCCCAGCCTTCATGCATTCAATAAGTGCCTGCGACACCTACTATGTGTCAGAGACTATTCCAGGGACTGGGGACACAAGAGTGGGGATGGCCAAGAAGATCCTCACCCTTCCTAGCTCTTATGGGAACAGATGATAATCACAGGAACCCATAATCCATCTGAGAGATTCAGACAGTGATTAGTATTACGAAGAAAACAAAACGGTGATGAGGCTGGGTTTGATGGCTCACAGCTGTAATCCCAGCACTTTGGGAGGCTGGGTGGGGGGAGGGGGTGGATCGCCTGAGGCCAGGAGTTCGAAACTAGCCTGACATGGTGAAACCTCATCTCTACTGAAAATATAAAAATTAGCTGGGCGTGGTGGGGGAGCCTGTAATCCCAGCTACTTGGGAGGCTGAGGCAGGAGAATTGCTTGAACTCAGGAGGTGGAGGTTACAGTGAGCTGAGATCGCATCACTGCACTCCAGCCTAGGTGACAGACTGAAACTCTGTCTCAAACAAAACAAAACAAAACAAAAAACAAAACAAAGCAAAGCAAAACAGGGTGATGGGATGAAAGGTGTCTGGGAGACATGCGATGCGACTCCAGGGAGGTCAATCAGAAAGGGCCTCTTGGAGGAGGTGACATTGTCCTGAGACCTGCATGAGGAACCTGCAGGTAGGGAAACTGCAGACCAGGCAGGTGACAGCACACAAAGGCCCTGAGGTGGAGGGGGCTTCTGTGTTTGAGGGAAACAAAGAGTGTTGATTGAGAGAAACAGGAGGTGAAGGTAGAGGTGGGGAGGGAGAAGGCACTGGGTGGTGTCCATGGCCCTTGGTAAGGAGGTGCTGATGATTAAGTGGGGTTGGGATGCTGTTCTATTCTATTCTGTTCTGATCTGTTCTATTCTATTCTATTCTATTCTGTTCTGTTCTGATCTGATCTGATCTGATCTGTTCTGGTCTGGTCTGGTCTGGTCTGGTCTGGTCTGGTCTGGTCTGGTCTGTTCTGTTCTGTTCTGTTCTGTTCTGTTCTGTTCTGATCTGATCTGATCTGTTCTGTTCTGTTCTGATCTGTTCTGTTCTGATCTGTTCTGATCTGTTCTGATCTGTTCTGTTCTGATCTGTTCTGTTCTGTTCTGATCTGTTCTGTTCTGATCTGTTCTGTTCTGATCTGTTCTGTTCTGTTCTGTTCTGATGTGTTCTGATTTGATCTGTTCTGTTCTGTTCTATTCTATTCTGATCTGTTCTGTTCTGTTCTGATCTGATCTGTTCTGTTCTGTTCTGTTCTGATCTGTTGTGTTCTGATCTGTTCTGTTCTGATCTGATCTGATCTGATCTG